ATGCAAGTTCAACAATTTTGAAAGAAACAAAAGCTCTAAGTAGCAAGGTTTTATTAAGTATATTTTGCATCAAAAGAAAAATTACAGTACTCATCTTTTTTGTACTCTTTTTAAATACCCAAAAGACATATATAATTTACATATGTAGATTTAGCTCCAGAGACACAAAATTACTCCAACTTCAATTAACTCACAACTCCAAGAAAGTGAATAATTGAAAGTCTCACAGCTGCCCCCCTCCTATTTAATGCAACTAAAAGAGATTTGGGGCACTCTCCCCTACAGCCAGAGCCGTAAAGTGGAAGTAGCAAAGATGGTACCCAAAGACTGCCTGAGTCCTCTATGTGCAAACAAATAGAGTGAGGAAAGGCTGTATTCTGTAGCTAACAATTCAACTTTGGCTACCTAGAACCGCCAATACCAAACAAATAAACTATATATATACCCCTCCCCACCCAAAAAAACAGGATTATCAGTGGGAGACGGTATAATTGCTCCAATCCTGCTTCTCAAAGGCAGCTTTTTTGACACATCAGTGCCACTATTTGTTTCTTTCATCTTCTGAAGCCAATATGTAAATTCAATTATTTTGGTAGCTACATATCCACAAGCATTTGCACATAACGACCTCACTCTGCCACTAATATATGTAAATGGAACCACATTCCTGAATTTAGTTCCACCAGAGGTTGAGATATCAATACTTACCCACGTAAAACTGACAGACTGTAAAACAGATTAGTGAATGTTGTGCCTAAACTAACTGGTACTTCAGGTATTATACAAATACATGTAACCTTCACCTTGCAGAACCCCTGCTTTGTGCTTTCTGACAGAACCGTCACACTGGTACCTGCTGCTAACTGTGGACCCTAGTACACACCTTACCAACCCAAAGCTTTTGCTTGCAAGTTGCTATTGTGATTTCTAAAACTAAAGTACTAAAATAAAGTTCTAATGCAAGATGATTTTTGCCACCAGATGTGATTTAGTTATCAAAACAAACCATATTGAAACTTTCACATGGTGACCGACTGCGAGGATTAACAACACTGCCATGAAACAAATTGTTTAATGCACTTAGACACTAACATTGACATTGTTTTAGCCCTCCACAATTCAAAGTCATCATAATCTGAGGCAAATGAAATGAGATGTGAGATGCAGTATGGAACACTATGTGTGTCCATGCTCCAAGGGGTACCTGTTGGAGTACAAACACACATTTACTAAGAAAACCCCAACCAAGCAAGTTTTCCTACGTAACTGTGGAAATAATGCTTACTTCAGGTTTTTCTCTCCTGCACTGCTTTTACAACTGTCAGCTGTGAAAAAGGGTGAACTTCATGGTCTGCTGCTGCCAAGAGCAGCAAGTCAGAAAGTCCACCTGAAGCAGAAGCAGCTCCCTGGACTTCGCATTAAATACAATCCCACAGCCCACAACCGAGCAACCCCCGTATTGATTTTCAGGTAAGTTAATTGGTGGCAATTTTTAGAAAGCTAAAAGCAAAGATCCCACGTGTACCTAGGTCTATGAAGAAGTACTTCAGCTACTTGAACTCTGTGCCTCTGGTCGCTGAAACACACCAGCTTGCATTTCCGCCCCACTCCTAAGTCACACCAGTTAGTGTTCTTCCTGCACCCTCCTCGTGGATATGGCATTCTGGCAGCTTGTGTTTTTACAGGATTTGGGGTTTAAATTTCACATTTGTGAAACAGAGCATACTGCAGACATATGCAAACTGTTTAAAACATGCACATTTCAGAAGCCTACTGACTCTATGTTTAACTTGCAAGAAAGGAGCAGTGAAATCAGGCAGGAGAGGCAGGATATATTCCAGCATAAGAATCAAAGATTTTCTTTCCTTTCTTTTTCTTTTTTTAAGGCTTGCCTACACTAGAATTTGGAGTTCTGCCAAAAGTCTATAGACAATTGGAGAACTAGCAAGTGTATGACATCAGATATTCCAAGGAAGTGAAACCTGACTTAACGGAAGTGATTTTTATTCAAGAAAAACAGATATTTAAACAGGCATCAACAAAAATACTTTAAGACCATGTACGGAGGAAGTTCCTTTTTTAAAGATTCTTAAAAAATATTCAACTCCAGGCTGCCCCCCCACCCAAACACGTTTCCGAGTCAATGTGTAACAAAACAGTCTTGATGCTATTGATATCTCTGATAGTCCTTTTTAAAAGGGCAAAAGAAAACCAGTTACCAAACAGTTTCTGTCCAATAATCCTTTTCTTTCTTTCACTCTTCTGAAAAAGCACTGCTCGCTGGCATGAAAATTCCAAAGCCTGGAAAACCATCATCAGACTGAACTGAAGCCTCTAGATCAAAGTATCCAAGTGAGCTGGTGATTGATTCCCCAAGCACCTTAATGCATTCCACTACACAACCCTTTGCCAAGTGTCTGGGTGTCCAGTATTTCTCTGTATGCAATTTTCCTAACAGCAAGTGTGCTATAAAGTTTTATTTCACCTTTTAATTAAACTTTTAAGACCTATAGTTGTGGGGGTCTCTTAACTAACGCCACAGACCACAGGCCAATCAAATTTCTGTGACACCCTTCATGTACTCACATAACCTTGAACCCTAAACTACAAGCCTGAAACCATAAACAACATGTGACTGGGGTTCCTAGCAATGCCCAGTTTCAGGAACTTACAAAGCCTCAATAACAGTGTAATAGCAGCATTGACTTAGAGAATACAGAATACTTACTTTGGCTACAATGCCAATTTTAAACGAACAAAACTCATCAATGTATCTGGTGACAAGAAAAGCGTAAATCCTTAAGGTTCTGGCAGAAAACCACTAAGCTTTCTGGATTTTAGAAAGGCGTCCAGCAACACATGCGCTGATGCTGGACAGGCCATTCTGGCATGAAGTTCTCCCCTTCTCTTTCAGGAACTTTTAGTGCACATTAGTCCCTTAATGTACACATTAGACCCTTACACAGAAACAAGCCCTCATCTATGGAAGAACTTAGCTGCCCGTTGACAAACCCGATGGCACCACAGGGCCAAAGCGGTCACCCCGCGTTCCACGCCCCGCGGGCTGCACACGGAACAAGCATCCAACTGCAAACACATAAACACCACTTTTTCCACACGAATTCCTGCGGTTCAGGACGGAAACAGCGCTCGGAAATTCAGCTAGAAACAGCCGGGGGCATCGAATAACCTGAACGCCCCTTAAAGATCACAAAGGGATGGCCAAGGGCGGTCAGGGCTGGCTCCTCCGCTGCCCAGCCCCCTCACGCCCCGTCGCCCGCACCCCACTTGTTGCAGCGGCCGTTAACCGTCGCTCCCCGCTGCGCAACGCACAAAGCGCGGCCCCGCGTTCCTCACGACTGCTGACAAACGGCCGCAGCCGCCGGCCGAAACCTGCCCCCGCGCCGGAAAGAGGGCAGCGCCTCCCGCCCGGGTTGAGCAACCCCCGTGTCGCAACGGGTGGCAGCCGAGAAGAGCGCTCCCTGTTCCTGCGGAGCTCGGCGCCGCGGGGCGGGGAGGCACCGAAACAAGCCGAGGGGAAGCCCCGCCGCACCTCAGCCCCCCGCCAAGCAGACCTGCCCGCTCGCGGCTGTCCCGCCGGTCCGTCCCGTCCTGTCCCCTTCAGAGCGCGGCGCCCGCCCGCCTGCCGTCGCACACCCACCTGCCCGTGCAGCAGCGGCCGCCGCCGTCTCCCTCGCCGCCCGCAGCCAGCGCGGCGGCCCTGGCGCTAGCGGGGAGCCTGCTCCCTCACGCCGCCACCGGCAGCGGCCGCGGCGAGCTGCTGCGTCCTCCGAGCGTACGGCCCCGGTGCCGGGGTTACCTAGGCGATAGCTTCGGCCGCGGGTCCCGGACCCCTCCCCCTTGGCCGTGGGCCGCCAATCCGCTCACAGCTTTCAGTATCAAACCTCGGGCGCTGGCCAATCGCGCGGCGCGTCCCCGCCCCGTCTGGGCGCTCCCGGATCCATTTTCCCGTGAGGGCCGGAGCCGGCCTCGCTGAGGTGAGTCCAGGATCGCAGAGCCAGCGGTGAAGTCTCCCTTTGCGAGCTCCAGCGGAGCTCAGCGGCGACCGCGGCCCCCCCGCCCGCTCATCTGCTTTCCCCCGCTCCTTTGGCGCTCCCTGGCCGCTTTCCTCACTTGCAGCGCCGGGCACCGCGGGGGTAAGCGCCCCAGCGCCTCCTCCAGCGGCCGGGCTTCACGCGTCAGGAGGGGTCTAAGCGTGGTCTAGGAGACTGAAAGAGGCAGCCGTTCTGTTCACACTGGAAAAGGCTCATCAAAGAGCAGGCTTCGCTAAGTGGCTTTTGGAAATCAGCAGGGAAGACCTCTTTAGAGCAGCTTATTGCCTTGCCAATGATTTCCGTGATACAGCCTCATTTTAAGAGCCTTGCTGCTGAGCTGTTACAAATAATTGCATTGAAACGGGTATGTGTAAAAAATCGGTGGCTTCTTCAAAGAAGCAATCAAAGAAACACAATGTAAAATGTAACCAGTAATGAGACAACTTGGTTTTGCATGCAGCTAGCACCGTCCCCACCCACTGAAATCAGCAGAAACATTCCTACTGCCTTTAAAGAAAATAGGGCAAGGCATAGCATATCCCTGTCCACATTCAAAGAGTATAATCATATTATGCATACTTTAACATCCCTGTGCTAATAATCAAGCTGTATTACTAGTCTTGTTTATTTTACTCTGCTCATTTTCCCAGTTATTCCAGTTCTGACAGTAGAAAGATGGACAATCTACTTCCTCATCAACCTCACTTCCCGATTCTCAAGGCACTAAAACTTCATTAAATCTGGGTTAGAAAACATCTAGGGGATGTTTAGTTGTTTGTTACAAACAAACCAATGCACTACAAGGACTGACTGGAAATTTATGGGAAGGACAATGATCTCTCCACTCTTCAGCAAATGGGTTTTTTGCACTCCCAGTGTGCACACAATACAATATCTAGGGAAATCTCAGTAGAAGGGCAGAAGTTAATATGAAGCCTTGCCTACCGTGTGTCAGTTGCTTTCACAGCCCGTCTGTTGTGTGCACCAACTAACAGTTCCCCTTCCTGCTTTTAACCAGTTCTTCTAAGGCCGCTCAGTACCACAGGTGCTGTTTCTGAACGCCTTGCTGCTGCTTGATACCACAGGAGTGTGGTAACTTCACTTGACTTCCCTTCTTCCTGGAAGAAAAAGCCAATAGTTTTCAAGTGAAACTTGTTTACGATCTTGTTTGTACAGATCATACAAAGACATAATTTCTATGGATTGTGTTCTACATAATGAAGTTCAGTTCAGCACATTGACTCTTTTGTTTAAAGTTTACATTGTTACTGAAATACATTTCTGAAAAATAAGGTATTAATGAAATGCAGCAGTGCAAAAACCATCCCATTTTCAAACCATTCTAATAATTGTGGGTTTGACATTAAATATCCATATAGTCGTGGCCTAGGTATTCACATCTTGGCTTGCTAGTTGGCCTCACTGATGACAAATGAGTTCATACCTGGAAAGGATAGATAATGTGGTTTTTAGAAAAGAGCTACTGGCTCTGGATCTTGCAACTTTAGGTTGTTGTTGTACAGGACCCAATGTGGACTTTGTAAAGCGTTAAGTCAACTATGTGAGTGATTTACCAGACTGAGCAGAGGGCTACAATCCAGAAACTTCAAAATCTATCTATTGCGCTGCCATCTTCTCCATTGAATAACAATGCCTTAAAGTATCTATCAGGCATAAAGCCCCAAGCACTTAAAACTTGTCTTGTACAGACTATTTCTGCTATATCTATGAATAGAATTTAATGAAATCTGCCCATGCAGAGTTTTTCTGTAGGACTGTAATTCCTGACTTCAAATTTCTTCTCCATTCTGTATTTTAATGCCTTCAAATACAGTACCATTACTTAGCAGTAGGAGCAAAGAGATCTCAATCAGTACTTATCAACATATTTCAGATTACAGTCAATCAACTTGCATGCTATTCATGCTCTTATCACACATGGAGTTACGGACAGTGTGTGCAATATGAATAAGAAACTCATCTTGAAACATCTTACAGAAACTTTCTTATACCCTAATGTGGCAATGGAAAAAAAACAACAAGGCTTTAACTATAATTTTAATTTTCAATTTCCTTACCTTTAGATTCTCTTCCCACCCCCCTTCACAAAACAACCAATGTTCCACTACTTACTCTCCATCCCCAGGCTATTGTTACATGTGTTGTCAGAATAACAAAAGAGTTTCGTCTAAAAAGGCTGTATCTGAGTCATGTCTGCATGTGAAACAGCTGTGCACCTAGGGCACACTCTTGGTCACTTGAAAACGGGTCATTTTTAGCATTCTGGGTGTACTTTATTTTATCGCTGTGTCACCACAGTGGTCAGGAGAAAGGAACTAACACACAAGTCATCTGTCCATCTGCGGACATCACAGAGCTGTGGCAGCAGACCCAGATGGAGGGAGAAGGAAAATCTAAGTGGAAATGCCATGTGAAGGACATTCAGCCTAATGTTGGAAAAGCTGGTCTGAAAAGAACTCAAGTTAGTAAATATAAAGGACAACAATCCAGAACACAGCTGAGTATTAGAAATAATTGTTCACAAGACTTAAATGCTCATAGCAACTTGCTAGTGCCCAATATTGGGATACAATGGCAACATCTTCAAACCCAATTAGCTTTGTGTAGCTAATGAGGAATGTTTTGTGGTGAATACAGAATACCATGAATATCTCTCATAAATACTTGTTTTCTTAGAAATGATAATAAAAAAAAGAAGTTATATTCAAAACTATGTGAGCAATGGTAAGGAGAATAATGGTCATTCTACACTGCGTGGCCATTCCTTTGTCAGCATACTGCCAAATAAAAGGCTTCAGAACATTTTGTGTATGAAAAATAACATGACAGTCTCCTCAGTAGTCACTAGAAAAAAAGGCCAGTTTGAATTATAACATTCAAAAAATAGCTTACCTGGAATTAAGAAAAACAACTTTCATGCCTCATTGTAAGCCCCTTCATCTACACTAGAAAAACATGTCCCCTGTTACCTGAGGGGGTACCTGAGGTTGTTACCATTTGGGGGACATAATCTCTCTTTAGCCACTGAAATTTAAGTGTTGTTAAGCAGCAAGTAAATAATTTTGGTGTGGCTCTTTCAAGCCATGTGTTTGGAAAAAAGTCACAAGAACCAGGTTTAATCATTGAAGTCTATATTTAATCTCCTAAAAAGCAAATACTGAGATTCCCAGGGAATTTTGTACACTAAAAGAAAATTATACAGTAGAGAAGATACAGTACGTGGATCCACATACTGCAACAGTCTCAGCTGATAAATAAAAGCTGGCCTGCTGGATTGGACCTTGCCCATCCCTGCAGACATTAGACCAATCTTTGAAATCAAAGCTGGCCACTGCCATTAGGGCCTCTCAGGGTGCACTGATAACAGCATGGTGAAAAACTCAGCAGAACACACTCGCTCAATTTCATGAGAGTAACAGTCCCTCAAAGGTGGTTCTGTACAGCATGCTGCTCTCCTTGCCTGCCTTTACACCAGCATGTGTGTCTACAATAAGCTTCTCTTTGTTTCTCACACTGACTCTGGTGAAGGGGGAGGCAGCAGCAAATAATGGACTGAGTGACATTCAGTACCAGACTGCAAATGCAGATATCAGACAAAACAGATGCTGAATTCAGCTAATGAAGCTGCAGCTTGCAGCAAGAACAAGCAGCTTTTAACAGTGCTTTGCTAAACCGAGTTATTTAATACATGTAAAATTCAGTGGAAAAGTTCTCTGAGAACTTATGGCATATGTATGGAAGCCAGAGAGGCAAACCATCCTCTTACCTACAGCAGCACCTCAAATAGCCAGCAGCACTGACACCCACACTCAGCATCCTGGCATTTCACTGTTCCACTCCCCTACAGTCAGAGGCCTCTCATCTTAAAGTTTTAAGCCTAACTTTAATAAGGTAAAGCCACTTGAAATAGAAGGCTGGAGGAACTCAAGCTCCCTGACCTCCCATAGCCTCTGTAACACACCAGAAGTGGCAGCAGGTCAACTGATCCACACATAAGGACAGAGCCCTGCTGTGAACGAGTGGGCTCAGTTCCTTCCCCTTTTCACCACCCAGACAAGCTGCATGAGTAGGTCCAAACTGGAGAGAGGCCTTAATGCACCAAATCTCTCCTGGAGCAGCAGCTTTGTACATTATCCTGCAGAGTATGACTGTTTCTTTGGCTCCTTAAATCTGGGACTGGGGGATTGGAAAGGAGAGTCCCTCTGTACTGAGGCTGCAAGTGTGCCAGTAAGAGTTGGGAACAGAACTCTCCTACCTTGCGATGTAAACCTACACCTAGAAGGTACATCATTGTATTGTACTGCATAATATCTCCACATAGTTAAATGTTTCCAGCTTCTTAACACAGGTTTTGTAAAACCAGTTGTATTCATGACTACAGAATAACTTCTTTTAATCAAAAAATCTTGAATAGCCAGTGCCTAATAGAACCAGGACTTGTGCCTACATGTAATCTCACACACCACACAGCCAAGTCTCCCACCAGCTGTTACCTCTGCTGCCCAATTTATGGGCTTGACCTCATACCCAGTATTAACATATTTGTGTAATAGAAAGCAGCACTGGATTGTCAGAATTGCCAGGTTTCAGATGAGGCGATGAGTTCCCTTGAGTTATTTCTGCTGACTTTTCTAATCAAATATAAAGATCCCATGACACGTTTTGACAAAAAGTAGGGCACAGCCAGCTTATTTATTCTTTTGCTAAAAATAGGCTTCAATGTCCAGCAGGTTGCAATGTGTTAGACAGCACTTTGAGTCTACCAGCTGCTGTACCTGCCTTGATACAGCTCTATCAGCAGTTCATCTTTGCCATATGTTCATTATGAAAGTCAAACATCAGGATTCACAATTACTTCAGTAGTCCCGTTTTGTTAAAATGTTTACTAGAATTAGACTATCCAGCAATTGAAAAGGCAATAAAAGACCTTCTCATCCTTACTAGATGAGTTTCTGACACCCTTCCAAGCACAGCGCAGCAGTTTTACATCTCTTGGGTTAATGGTATATTACTATTCTCAGCCAGAGGCAATGACTAAGAAGAGATTCGTTACAGGAACTGGAATTCAAATGATTCAAAGAAACCCTATCTCTCCCACCTTCTTTACATATTTATTTTCCAGCTACCCTTTTTGTCTTATTCTGATAACAGAACGGATATAACCGTGAAAATTCATAATGATCATGAATAATACTGAGTCTATCACATCTTTTAATGACTATAGATATGAAATATGCTATTATGTCTCATTTTGGCCTTGCAGAAGACTTTCAACTGATGTTATGTCAAGTTTGCTTAGAGAAGTTCATTGTCCAGCCACAGTGGTGTAAGTCACAGTCAGTAAAACTTCATTTTGTGTATAACCACTGTAAGACAGAAAACACAGAGTCTTTAACCCCCAAATTACATAGATGTGGTTACCCTGTGAGTCAAATACATTTAGTGACCTTCAGTACACAGTGAGCATCACTCTGGATTTGGTCATGTGCCATTTGTGGACCATGAAAGACGTGCTCGAAAACAGATCTTTCTTTATCTTGCCCAAGTTATACGTCATGTGCCAAAGAAAGAGATAAAAGCAAATGTGGTATATTACTGCTACCATAAAACACAGATACTTCATTAACATTTCGCTAGCCCATAAAAAGCCAGGACAACTTCAACCTCATTGATGATTACACACTACTAGAAAGCTACTATCTGTATCTATCTACACCTACATAAAGGGCAAACTCAGAAAGTTCACGTGAAATGTTACAAATCAGCAAGTACAAGAAAAACAAGGGCTACATGCAACATCACTCCTCTGAAAGTACCAGTTCTTAGCTACAAATGAACTTTTATTTCAGATTCCTTATTTAAAATTTCAGATTTTAACTTCTTCCCTGTGGTGAATGTGCTACAGTTTTAATACTATTTATGAGGTCCTATTTTTAAAAGGACTATAAAAACCACATATATCTAGCAGATAGGCATTCCAAAGGCATTTATAGATTTCTTAAGGATGCTTCAAGTTTTTAGTAACTTCTCTAATACTAACGCACAAGATCTAATCATATCAATGTCCTTTTGTTATACAAATCTTATTCTACACTAA